GTCGATCAATGTGGAAGCATAAATTAAATGACAGGGGGGTTGGGCCAGCATAAGGCCCCGATGTGACCAAGGTGGGAATTGAGACTCTGGGTGCGAAGACCCTGGAAGCCGGTACATTTTTGACAAGTGTCGATAGACTTAAAAAGGTTTATAACATTTAAACCATACAATGTTAAATGTTAATCAATAATTTTTTTTCTAAATATTTTTGTAGTTATTATTCATAATATAGTCATAAATGCGTTTTCAGCGAGGAAAAAAAATCTTACGGATGATACACTGACAGCAGCAGTTCCAATCGCATCATCTCGGGTATTTCCGTCAGAGGTTGTTTTTCCGCTAGTCGGAAAGGCCCGAGGAGTTGCGATTGCAGCAGTTCTCCCCGATGTCTTTATCACTAGCCTGTCATTTTACATATATTCAATGTTATACAGTCTACACTAAATATATATTATCCTTCATAAAATGGTTTTGAAATTTCAATCATACATGCATGTTTTCATGAACTTGAGTCTTATAATTTATGTATAGAAATGATATTCATAAATTAATATAAATTTTAAATAAACATTAAACAATTAATCCAAAATTTTGCCACAGTTCAGTTTTTTCTTCGGAGAGTATTTAAAATTTATTTTTGAAAAGTATTTTTACTTATTATGAATTGACTTTTTACCATCGAATAATATGGAAGCACGTGCTTCCGTGCTTCAATGGTAGCTACGCCACTGCCGGTGGTATTTTAAGAGTGAAAAAAATACCGGAAACAACAAAATAAAATTACTCGGTAATGTATAACATATTTGTTTTTTATTTCAATAAAGATGGACAGAAAATGTGTTAAAAGTAATTGATTATATGCACATAAATTTTAAGGTATTTGATTCAATACATTTCTTAAAGGGTACAATACTGAACATTTTTTAAAAGAAAATTCATTAGAAATCCGGTCTTGTCCTTTTCATTCATTTATTTGAATATCTTCACCATTCTACAATTATGGGATGTGGGATTACAAGAACATATCGGTGATTAATACAAAATAATAGATAAATATGGCAGGCGTGAAAAATAAAATGCAAAATTTAGTGTGTTGCTATAAATGTGAAAAAATTGGAATTCTAGGCGGGAGCACAGTTAATTGATTTTCTTTATTAACGAACATAATTTTCTTCTATTACAAGATTGTGATACAAATTATTTTGGAACGATGAGTCATTTACAGTCTTTTTTATGCATAAAATTAATTGATTAATAATAGTCATATAAATGAATTATAATTCACATGCATCGACAAATACAGGGTTAGATATTTCCGGGGGGGGGGGGGGTGATCAAATGAAAATACTGAGTTTTTGTTGTAAACAGGTCTTTTATGTGAAATGCGGGGGAAAAATGTCACAATAAAATATATGAAAATTAATGAACTATAATTCTTTTAATTTGTATTACATTCTTTAATTAGGTACTTATGAAGTGCACATTAAAGATAGGGATACAGAAATGAATTCTTTAACACTGTGCCGGTCATTCACTCTTTTGGGATTAAAAAAGCAGGAGAAAGCATTAGAGTGTCATAGAGAAATGATAGGGGATACACTCATTATCAAAAGGACCGATCACGGCGCATTGAGATTGTTTGAAGTGTATCCAATAAGTAAGTTAAAGATTTTAACAAAGTTATCAAATTATGTCTAATGGTAATACATGTATATTTAACTTACCTATGCCAGTATATGTATTACGAAGATGTAATTAGGTTTTGTTTGCTTGTTGTTTAACACCCCTTTCGAGAATTTTTCACTCATATTGAGACTCCATCACTTGCAGGTGGAGGGCAGGAAATTTAGACCTGTGCTCGGCACTTACGGCGTTTGAGTAGTGAGGGATCTTTTTCTTGCCAATACCTACTAAGACACGGGGCCTTGGTTTATACGGTCTAATCAGAAGGACCATTCTCCACGTCGCACAGTGGATTCGAACCCGTGACGTAAAGATCAATTCCTTACACAGCGATTTTAAAACAAGCTATGTTACTAACAAACTAAAGCAAACGCAATTTTAATCTGCGCCACGCGGGTGATATTTAATTAAGTAATTATTCACAGATTTTCAAATGCAAATAAATTTTCAGATCATCACCATTTAAGACAAAAATTTTGATCAGGCACGTAGCATAGTGTTTGAAAGGGCGGGGATGCAGCTGGAAATAATTCACAACTTACCTGAAAAATCTGTGATAAGAAAATGGGAAAAGTAAGTAAGTAAAACTCGAAAATCCTAATTCGTTTGAGGGGGGTGCGGTATTATATTCCATCTTGAAAAGAATTTTTAGAACACATAAATTGGAGGATTTGACTATGTTACATAAATGGGATTAAGGATGGGGGTTAGTAAAAGTTTTGCTTGAAAAATAGTAGGGATAGGCCTCCAACACCCAGGCCCACCACCGATACTACGTGCATGTAATTCCAAGTTTTATGAAAACAACATCGTCATACTCTATGTTAAATGATACAATCGGATTGGGGAAAGATAACCAGAGTCCTATGATGTCTTATTTTTTACATTTTTTTTAACAAGAAACAAAATTTATTTATGTTTTCTTTATTTTGTTTTAGTGCTGACATATTCTGACATATTCTGACGTATTCTGACATATTCTGACGTATTCTGACATATTCTGACGTACTCTGACGTATTCTGAGATATTCTGACATATTCTTTTCTCAAGTGTGTGAAAATTGCTGCTAGTACACTACTGGTACTTGACAAAATAATGATAAATGTATAAAATATCTACGAAAAACCTTCCAGACTTTTCTGGACAGCTTACATTGTACACAAATTTTCCGTAGCATAGAACTCTAGTTACACATTCAATTAAGATTATAGTAAGGTTTAAAAACACTTTTCAAACCTTTTAATTGCGGCGTAGTGTTAGATTTTTCTATATTGTTTTCATTAATCACAGAGGATGAAATTGAATTACATCGACACTGAGCTTTTTCATTTGCACAAACACTGTACCTCAAAAAATTTCTACATTTAGCACATTTAATTAGGTAATTAATCATTAATTCTTAATTGTATCTTTTGAGTAATTAGGCTTATATAAAAATATTAAAAATATTTGTAAATATAAATGCTCTTGAAATATTGATGTCAAATTGCCTATTACATTTGTTTGCAAGTCTTTGCAGAACAGAGAAATATGTACACACAAATGTGGGTTGAAATATATTATGGAAAAATTGTGCATAGAATAATTTACAGTCTAAAATTAGGTAAGGACATCTTTCTGACATCACGGGATTGAACCTTACGGCAGGAAGTGAAAAGCTGTCCCACGGACGAGATTGTATAAATTGATGTTGGTGTTGGCACTAAAAGATACTTCAGAACTCAATTGCAGTTAGTGTGAAGAACAAGTCTGAATTTGCAGGGTTTTCCTCCTCAACAATGGGTGAGGAAACCAATATGAGTGAAAAACTATGGAGGGGCGCAAATTTGTGTATTTTTTAATAGAAAAGTCTGGCAAACTATCAAAACAAAGGAAACAAAGATAACGAACAGTGATCAATCAGAAAGAAAAACACACAGAAAACAAAACTACAAACAATACAATTCTGTAAACTGTGAATAGGGTCTATAAATAAACTCTTGGAAGTTTAAAACATTATATGAATAATCATTTAGTGTTCCATATTTTTAATCATAGTTTGTCCTTCAAACCACTATGGGCCAAACTGTGCTAAATGTAGAAATGAGTGTAAGTCGTGTAGTCCAATAACTGGTGTATGTCATCAATGTCGTCGATCTTTCTACGGTGACTTTTGTCAGCACCAGTGTCCAGCTAACTGTCACAACAAGACATGTGAACAATCAACAGGAACCTGTGACAGGTGCAATGATGGATTTCATGGAAGGAGCTGTGATCAAGAAATTACAACTATATTACAAGGTTCTACTTTATATAAAGGTTCATTGAAATATTATATCTGAATTAAAAAATGAACAAATTGTCAAAATTCTGCTTATTGACTTGACAATAAGTTACTACTATAGGTCTTTTTAAAGTAATTTGTATTGCATCGAAGAAATGGATTTAAAGATATTTACAAGAAATTAAAGCCTTCATCGAAAATAATATTCTTATTTTAAAACTCCGTGCCTTGCATATTATACTAAAATTATGAAATGATATTGGAAGAGAAGAGAAAATTGGAATGAAAAAACATAAAGGTATGTATCATTTTGTTCATTATCATAAATTCAGTAGAGAATATTAATCGTGAACAGCATATTTTCAATACTTCATTAAACGATATCATGGATGAACCAATTTTTTTTTCACTTTAAAATAAATGTAATAAATAAATTTTTCGGTGTTTGCTGATAGTTAAGTTTTATTTTTCCATCATTTATTCTATCTAAGAGCAATATTATGTCAAAAATCCAAAGATGGAGCGGAAAAGATGTCAAAAATAAACATAGTAAACATATAGGACGAATATATGAACTCATTAAATATTTTAACAAAGCAACCGGACGGAAGTCCAATATTTCCAATTTCTAGTCATTATCAACCAGGGAGAAACTTTGTTTAGCAGGGACTTTGTCAAATATAAGGAAGATTGTTTGAAACTATACTTTTTTCCTCACTATTTTAATGTTTTTATGTGATTGGAAAGTTATATAGTTCATTTCACTTGACTATGCTTGAAGTATTTTGGGTGAAGCATTTTACTCTAATTTTATCAATTTTTAATGCTTTTATAAAAGGTATGTATAAATCTTTCTGTTTGCTTTAATTGGTCTAAAGTGATTTCCTTTGCTGCTTAATTTGCATTGATATGAAGTTTTCTCTAACGGATTTTTCTGGTAACTTTTAAGACTTAAAACATCTTATCGTTAAAGAAGTATTGAAAAGAATTTTTTTCACAAGAAGTCTTTAACATAATTTAGAAGACAAGTTGTCATATTGGTTTGATTTTCGTCGTAGGAAATTTATCACACATTCTGTGTGAAGAAGCTGAGCAGTCGTCTACAAATGGCTCCTTTGTCGCTAGTCTTGGCTGTGATGATGACATGGAAACTTACTCCTTGACTAATGATGGGAATAATCAGTGGTGGTCTGTTAAGCTGGATAATGTTTACAGAGTTGATTGGATCTTTCTCAAAATTAATTCTGGTATGAAATATTTCATAGTTTATAAATCAATATCTGTAAGATATGAATAGAAACAGCACGATTACAAATATATTAACCGTGTATTTCCTTATATACAGAAGCATACCAAGTCTATGTTGACCTGAATGAAACAACTTCAGTAAAATGCGCGGAGGTTTCTGGGCCTAGATATACAAACACACCATCCTTGCATCAAATAATTTTATGCAAATATCCAGGTCTTTCAACGATGAAAGGCAACATAATCAACATCAGTAATATAGGAAATGGACCTTTGAAAGTGTTTGAAGTGAAGCCAATTGGTAAACAATTTATTAGAACCATATCTACTCATGATATTAGATTTCTCTGATTATTTTGTAACTATTTAATTCGGTAGCTTTTTTTAATATCTTCCACCATAAATTATTAAAAATAGAAGACGTTTTAAATATTACAGTTTTGGAATGATAATGTATTTAAAAAATAAACCTAATCATCATTTGTTTTTAGCACTTTCTCTATTGACACCACATATAATACAAAATTTTACGGATTTTTGGGAACCAGTATCTAAAGCCTTAGACGGCAACACGGAAACTTACTTTAATTCAGAGGAAAGAAACAACGCATCATGGATCATAAGATTTGACAGACGTTATGAAATGAAATGGATTCTCTTGTCAATTAGAGGAGGTAAATATCAATATGTGAAGTGTTTTTACATTTGCATTACAGTTTGTCTACTATCAATTGGTTTTGGAATAAAATCATATCTTCTTTGAAGAGTGTAATCCGTGAGTTATACTTATTACTCAGGGTAACTGGATACTATAGAACACCGCTAATTTATACCACTATGTTGTGCCCCTTAATAATGTTGCAATTATACTAGTATACAATGAAATTTAAAAGAAACGAAGTTTTCTTAGTGTACGGTTGTTTCCCCTCAACAACGTCTGCTGTAAAGAATTCTTGCAAGGTTGTGTCCCCCAAAGCGATATTACTTCCCACTAGCTGCAAAAATGTACCCCTCTCCGATATATATTTTCAATCTGATGTTTTAGGAGGAGGCTTCAACTCAATAGGATCTCTGTAATGGTGCAAATGCTTGAGTGATTCACTCCCTCCCGCACAGATTTAGGCTCAAATTACGAGAAAGTGACTATTTTATTATCATTTCTTAACTGAACTCAAAATTATATTATGTAAGACATGAATTTATCCCCCCCCCCAAAAAAAAAAATAAAAAAAAAATTAATGAATAGTCTATATATCAGTTATTTTTCGTTTATGTCAACTTCACAAGTTGAATTGTCCGCCATGTTTAATGACCATGATCGATTTAATTTTGGGACAACCGATGAGAATTCGTGAGCAAAAGAGCTGATCTTGTGAATGAATGTATAGGAATTGTTTATTTTAAGCATAAATATCGTTGTAAATGAATAAAGTTGCACATCGAATGTTTTATTTATGGATGTTTGAGTGATACCATACCGGTATTACAAAATCATTTATCTGCACCAATGTTTACTTTAAGAAGCTATTCTAAATATGAAGCGCAAGACTCAGTACATCACGCGAGAACCTGTTATGGCAGATGTACCCCACAAAAAAGGAGAGGGATACACTATTCATGCTACATCCTTCGGTCCTGCTTTTTCTATCAATGTCATTATTTTGATGTGAAATGTGAGGAACAAAATGTCACTCCTGATATATTAAACTAATAGACTTTTCATTCACTTTGTGTTATGTTATTTTAATTAGGTACTTATGAAGTGCACATTAAAGATAGCAACACAGTAATGAATTCTTTAACACTGTGCCGGTCATTCACTCTTTTGGGATTAAATGAACAGAAGAAAGCATTAGAGTGTCACAGAGAAATGACAGGGGATACAATTATTATCAAAAGGACCGATCACGGCGCACTGAGACTGTTTGAAGTGTATCCAATTCGTAAGTTAAAGGTTTTAAATCAGCTTTCAAAATATATATTTTTTATACCCTTATAATTATCTTTCTATATATTTATTACTAATAAAAATTCTAACTAACAAAATTTTCATTGCATCGGTCTAACAATTTCATTGTTGACCGACCTGTCAGTCCAACATAAGAATTGTTAGACCGGTTCTTTGGACGAGACCGTATAAATCGAGGTCCCGTGTCGCAGTAGGTGCTGACACGAAAAAAGATCCCTCTCTGCTCAATGGCACTGAGTGCCGAGTATAGGTCAACATTTGCAGCTCTCCACGGCAGGTGGTGGCGTTTCCATATGAGTGAAAAATTCTCGAGAGGGACGTTAAACAACAAACAAACAAACGAACACTTGAATACATTAACATTTGAGGATTTGATTAAGCTACAAATTGTGTGTGTATTTGGGCGGGGCGAGAAAAAAATTCTAGGGAGAGGCCCCTTTCCCCAATACTACGTGTCTTTAATTCCCATTCTTATAAGAACTACATCATTACCCTCTATGTTAAATAGTACAGTCTTATTTGAGAAACCAGAGTGCTTTTTGACTTAGTTATTTGTAAGGTCTTTTGAGAAATATTCGAGCAATTATACTTGCATACAATTATCTGCAGATACAAATTCTCCCAAAATGTTGAATTTATATTGCTTATCATGTTTGTTTGTAAGTCTTCGCAGAACAAAAGACATTTTTTGGCAAAATAGTGTAGTGTTAGGTCAATTTACTGTCTACAATTAGCTAAGGACTTAATTCTTAATTCAAGGGTTTAAAAAACACTGCAGGAAGTGAACATCTGTACTATGGACGAGATTTCTTAAATTGATGTTGGTATTGGCACAATGAAATGCTTCACAGCTCAGTTACAATAAGTGTCTAGAGCAGGTCTGATTTGCAGGGCATTTTCACGACAATAGATTCTAATTATTATGAATGAAATTCTATCAAAGGGCGCAAATGAATACATTTTTAAAAATCCAATAAACTTTCAAAACAAAGAAAAAAAAATGCAAATATTTTTAAGCTAGTTAGTACTATGCAGTATATATAAAAGATTTACACAGATAAATAAACATGACTAATAAAAGGCTTTTATGTAGAATGATCTATTGTTCAATATTTTCAATCATAGTTTGTCCTTCAAACCATTATGGTCCAAACTGCGCAAAATGTAGAAATGAATGTGAGTCGTGTAGTCCAATAACTGGTGTGTGTGGTCGGTGTCGTGGTTCTTTCTATGGCGACTTTTGTCAATACGAGTGTCCAGCGAACAGAACATGTGAGCAAACAACAAAGATATGCACAGAGTGTGATAATGAACAGTGTTGTGATCAAGAAGTCAGCACAGATTTAACATCAAAAGGTTCATATTCTATGTTATCAATATTTAAAAACTATATTTTTTTTCCTTTTAAAGAAAAAAAAGATGAAATATTCATGGTATATTTTCAATTGAAAAGTCTTTACAGCATCCGCTGTGGGCTGTGGAAGGGGAGGGGGGTTAAACAGTAAAATGGACACCTTTCTTCACAGGGACTTTTTAATTTGGGTTTTTATGTTCATTCGCCTTTTATTACATTTTCAGCAGTGAAATACTGTAATTTATTAACTGAATAAAAGTGATATTCTGACACATTGTGAAAGGATATCAAAATGGTATTCTTACAGTGTGAGAATATCAGAAGTACGGCCAAACTTTCGATTTTCCTTCCATACACTAAGAGTGTTATTTAAAAAATCCCCGGCCTGTTATAAGATAGAGTTAATGAGCCATTCTGATAGAAACTAATATATATACTGCCAAAGATTTTTTTCCAAATATGTCTTTAAAAATCCATGTTTACAACGTTTTTCAATCTCTCAATCACTTAGCTATGACGTCTCAACCGCTAAACTATGATGTCACAGCGTATGATACTGTGTTACCAAAAGACAGAGGCAAAGGGAAAATCTAAGAAAATGTAATAAACAGAAAATTCATGTTTTGTAGATGAATATGGAATTTATTTCACTTGTGAGACAGGATTTTTTGATATTTTCACTCGTATTTTGCACTCGTGAAAATATTAAAAAATCCTGTCACACTCGTGAAACAAATTCCATATTCGTCTACAAAACATTGAAATTATCCACAATGTTATTGTCTTATTACATACAGCTGCATTTATCAAGAATCTGGGACTGATCAAAGTTGTTTCATGGTGCAGTGGTTACAGCGTTTGCTCTAGAATCACTGAAGAAGGAGTTGATCCTTGCATTGCGGGTTCGAATCCCACTGTAGGACTTGAAGACTGGTCCTTCAGATAAGACTGTATAAACCGAATTCCTTTATCTCCGTATTTGCTGGCACGAAAAAGATCCCTCACTGCTCAAAGGCCATAAGTGTCAAGTACAGGTCTAAATTTGCAGCCCTCCACTGGCAAGTGGTGGCGTCTCAATATGAGTGAAAAATTCTTGAAGGGATGTTAAACAAACAAATGAACAGACTAATAAAATGATTGATATGTAGATATATGTTACAGCTGTTAAACTCAAATGATAGCATGTAAAGCGTCATCAGTCATAGATGAGTAAATACTTTAGCTAAGGATGCCTAGAAATTAATACATGTAGTTGAAATCTGTTGGAATGATTAAATCAAATGAGGTCAAAAAAAAAAACTTTAATTGGTTTACTTAAACTTGTTTTTCAACAGCAGCATACTAAGAAACCATGATGAACAAATATATGTACATGTATACACCTCAGGAATGTTTATAAATACATGTATTTCTAAAAGTTGTTGAAACATAATTCCATTGACTATTTTATCAATAATATTGTAAACGAATTAAGGCACTTTAAGTAGGACATGTATACCAAGAGTCTTTCAATGAACTGATTAGTAGCATAGAAGGAGTGTAATTGTGGTAAATTTTCTGCCAAAAAAAAATTTCATACAAAATTTAGTTTGACTAGTAAACTTTCTCAAAATCGTATCAATGTTTACTTTTGAAATGCAAAAAAGTCTGATTTTTATGTACAAAACCTGTTATATAGCCTCTGTTTCCATGGAAACAATGTTGGGGACATCCATATTTTTTTAGTTCATAGTAATGAAAATAATCCAATTAACATATTCTTGGATTTTCGTGGAATCGGTAGATATAGATAATGGTAATTTTTACTTGTTTGTTGCCATGGCAACGGTTTCACTTTATTATGGAAAATTGAAAAAACCTCTTTTTTACCCAAATTTTTACATTTTAAATAACAGAAATAGAAATTTAAGATATATTGAGCATAAAATATAATAATTCATGCCATTTTCATTATTTTAAAATGATAATATAAGAAATAAATCAATTTTTTCATTGAAAATTATTAAACACGTAAAACGTCAAATACCTCAAATTTGTCGTCTTTTATTCAAAAAAACGGAACGGGCAATATCTTTTAAAATCATGTTAAATGATGAAGCTATTTTTCCCAAACAAATTGATGTATGACATGTGTAGAATTTAGAAAAAATAAAATTTGGAAGGGGTCGCAAACCTTACCTTAAATGGTCATCTTCAATTCATATAACCATTCATTAAATTTATCATTGTCAATGTTTTTCAGATAAAATGAATCGCATATGGTAGCCCCGGGTATCGACTGGGAACTTCGTATTGCGATATATTGCGATATCTTAAACTGTATTGCGATATGTATTGCAATATTTTAAATAACAGTTAAAATGCTCTTTTCTTATCTTAATAACCCCCATTTATAATCAGAGTGAATAATTATAAATACGTTATAGCAAACAAAGTTCTTGTAGATTTCACTTCAGTTTTGCAACAAAATACAACCATACAACAGCAACCTTATTGTTTGACATCTTAAACTTTAGATTTTACTTTAGAAATCCCAAGCCCAAGCATTTTACCGATATACCGGTACTGGAAAAACGTATTGCAATACGCTATTTTTTGTTAACGAATCTCAATATACCGGAATTTCGATATTATTGCACAGCCCTAGCATATAGTGTGACCCCTTAACTCTTTCTTTTGTCGTCAGTTTGATTTTCTTACGTTACATGTAGAAGGCGTTGTAATATTTCGAGTAGGAAGAGGAGTGCTTTATAATTATAGTATTATTTAAGTAAGCATACTTTAATAAGATATATGAACTTTGTTCTACAGAGCTAGGGTAATTGGAAGTGTGAGGTGAAAGTGTAAATTTAGAATATGTATTTTTATACGTATATTTATTTTGATCTGAGGATTTTAACCAATCATGATAATTTAAGCAGTTCTTCCTTATTTAAATCAGTAATAAATATCCTACGTGGGACTATTGTCAGAAATTTGCCATTAATTATTTCTGAGTCGATACGGAAGTACATTAGGAAAATTGTCAATAAAAGGGTATAATATTCATTTTGCGTTTGATAAGGACGGATACACTTCCGGTACCACTCGGTACCATGTGCGAACAACTGAATTACTGAGGATGTATTTGCCGTAAAGAAGATTTAAAATAACAGCTTCAATTTCACGAATAGCAATTGTAATACGAAGCGTTTGAAAATAAATACCAAATTGAAACAGATAATGAATAAATCAACGTGTTTAAATTTTTAAAACACAATTTGAAGAGCTAATGTAATAAAAATGTTAAATTGTTCAAAAACTAAGTACGTGTTTTATAAATAATGCTGAGAGACTAAACACTACGTAAAAATTTACACGTAAACACGTGATTAAAAAACTTTAACACATCCTGTTTCATTTATAACAATTAGGGAAAAACTATCTTCTTAATTGTTATTTGCAACTATTAATGCTGATTTAACGGTTACAAACTGAGTTTTGCTGTAAAACGGATGTTTGCGACCGTTAAATCAATATTAACAGTCATGCATAACAAATGAGAGGATAGTTATTCCCATTCTAATGCAAATTTTGCACGTTGTTTGATATTTACATTTTTTTTTTCGTTGAGTTTGATTTCTGAAATACGTCACGAAGCGTTGTGTTTTTGCGTCGTTCTATTATGAAAAGCTTTTACTCTTGTTAATGCTTGTTTATCGGCCTGAAACAGCAGCGTATTAGCCAATAAAAATGCAGCTTACAAAACAATTGCATTAGAATTCATTTTATTCCATCCAATAGATGATAAACAGTTTAAACATGGAAAAATGGCAATTTTTAAACACTTCAACGTATGCATTTTACGAAATAAATAATCAATTTATAAATAATAAACTTTCATAAACAGTACAATAATTCAAGAAATATGTATTAAAACTTTACATTTTGCAAAAAGAAAACTTCGTTACACAAAGAGGAATAAGTACATAATGTTGGTTTAAAGATTTAATATTGTGCGCAGCAAGGAATAAAAATTTACACGTTTTTTTTCTTCTGAAATCATTACAGTTATTAAGAGGATTCAAGTGAAATGATAGACTTAAATGTACCACACACAAGCACCTGATGCATAAATTGTCGAAAGACCCCCCTCCCCCCTCCCAAAAAAAAAAATCACACTTATACCCAAAATATTACTGATCTATATTTTCTCAAAACTATTTTTTAAGTCAACTCCGTCATGTCATTCTGTGCAATCGCTTTGAACTTTTTCAAGGTTAGGAATTTGGCCATAAACGGTATAAAAAAATACACATATAAAAAAGCTTGTAAAAATATGCATCCATCCGCCAGAGCTATTTTACAGTACTTAAACTATTTCATTAAGGGAAAATGTGCTTATAATGAAAATTAAGAAATTGTAAATAATTAATACATGTATTTTTTAAAATTGCTTCTAAAGAGATAAAATGTTTCCAATTTGTAACAGAACTCGTTGCACATGTTTTCGATCAATTGTTATATTTAACAGTGTCTAAGTACGAAAAATATTGGCAAACGAAAATGAAAGTCAATGTTTTAATTCATATTGTATTGGTTTTGAATGAACTCAATATATCATGGTCTCCATTCTCTACTCTTATAAAACTATTGGACATTTAAGTATTAATTTCTTAGAAAGTTATCTCTTTCATCAGAGTGCCATACCACCTTAAGCACCAAGTGTTTATACATTAAATGTTTATTAATAAGATGCAATTTATTTAATGTGCAATACTTCTATTTAAAACTTAAACAATGCAAAATAGTTTTTAAAGTGCCCAGCAGTTTGTTTATTTCCAATTTTTTAAAGGACAAAATATTTACATCCCAAACATGCAGCACTCTCCCAGTTTGAAAAAAAAAATTGAACATCTTATATTCTCATAATGGAATTCAACTAATATGTAAAAGGCATATTTTCTTGTTACTGGAGGACCGACGACACGTCCTGCTACTTTGCTGTTCCGAATTCAGAATAATAAAAGATGTGTTAGTAATATTGAAACCTATTTTATAAGTTGAAGGTGACGAAGACCCGCATCAAACAACAATACTGCTGCCTGCGCTTTTAGTATTGGTTTTTATTTTGATCTCAGTTGTGGTGGTCATATTCCTAAAAAGGTAAACCCTTTGGTCACTCAGTGAATTTCTCTTAATCTGATAGTGATGAAAAATTAAAGAATTTGATGTTGATACATTCGGCAAACGTGTTTTAACAACATCAAATGTTACCTCCACCTCTGATCAAATAATTTTGAATTTCAAAAGCACTTTGAAGATGTTTCTTTTCATTGGAGAAAATTAAGTCATTAAAATATCTTATAATTTAGAAAGAAAAATCCAACCAGCAAAACTAATAAAGAAAATGGCATCTCAACGGAACTTCACAGAGCTCAGTCAGGAAATGAATCGGAGCTGGAGGAGATTCCTCAGAACGAGGCTGATTATGTAGAGGAAGAGGAAACCATCACTGTAGAATATTGTAATCTGACGTCACAGAGAGTTTCAATTGACCAATTTATTTCAGAACTACCTCAGAAAAAAAGCAACGGTACACTGAAGAAAGAATTTGAAGTAAGTTGAAGAATTTTCGTGCGATACGAGAAAATATTGAAATAGGATCGAATTTCCTCAGAATGTAATATCCATTACAGGGTCTTCCCTCTGGATTACTAGAGTCCCATTCACAAGCTCTAATACCTCAAAATATTAGGAGTAACAGATATAAAGGCATTTATCCTTGTGAGTAAAAAAATTGTAATGAATATTTTGAAATGAATTAACAATTTTTGTACTTTGAGGATAATTGATTTTACAATTCATTACATTTTCTCTTTTTGTATTCTTTCATTTCTTTCCATTGTTTCACAATGAAGTTTTTTTTTTTTCCAGATGACTATAATCACGTGAAATTAATTAAACCAGAGGCTGACGAAAATGATGGTTATGCCAACGCATCCTACGTACATGTGAATATAAAATTACAATATCCATACCAAAAAATTCAGAGTAGATGTTTTGAAATTATTATCTTTTGTTATCATGTATGGACAATAAATGAAATTACTTTTGTTGTGCTATGTACACATGTATATTAGTGCATTGTTTTTCCCCTAGGGCTTCAGTAGAGAACGTTTATATATAGCTGCACAAGGTACATCTTTATTCTAAGACAATGGAGTTTTATTTTGGAAAATGAGCTTCAGGTTCTACAAGTTTAAAACGTTTAATATTTAAATTAAATCTATAAAACTTCCTGTAGATAAATAAAATAGAATCAGTTATAATCAATATACTTACAGTTACAAACCAGAACAAAATACATATCTTTCATTTCATTTATGTTCATTAAAGCTAGAGCAATTATATAGACGTATTATCGTAATAGGTCCTTTTAATCCAAAGACATTAGAGGATTTTTGGACAGTAATATGGCAGAACGACTCTACTAGAATTGTCATGTTGACGAATCTGTACGAAGGTGACAGGGTAAAGTTCTGCTTACAGTTGTTTATCATATACTTAAGTATTCCCAAAATGAAAACTAAAATAAAAAAACCGAAGAAGCAATGCATATTCTTTGTTCACCACTTCATGTTTTTTAAATAGGTAGTTAGAAATGGTGTGGAAAATGCTCATAGTAAAGAATTTCTAGTGTTCACAACAGATTCTTTGTTGAATTGTTGTTGGCTATAAATATAAAAGATGTCGGTTTTTTTTTTCAGATGAAGTGTCTGAAGTACTGGCCAGATACAGAGCTGGACATTGGTCCTTACACTATCAGGCTGGACACCGTAGATGTCTTTAACCATTACATTTTACGTTATTTGGTTGTCCAATATCAGGTTCATCTCTATAATCTTTTTGATTTCACTTTGTCATTAATGATGTAAATGTATTTATTTTCTTTGCAAGGCTGGGCAAAAACATTTTTCACACCCCACAAATCCCTCCCCTCTTTAAGTGGAATTTTTTTCTAAAGCAGCAATTTTTTAGAGCGCCCTGAAGCCAAAAACTCAAGTAAGAGAATCAAACTGAAATTAATCCACCTCTGTGATTCTCAGAGAATGTTACTTTTTGGGAGTTGATTTTATCAACTCCTCATAGTCAGCGCGCCAGAGGCGCATCAATACATCCTCGATTAAATGCAGGATATTGTGAAAATGGGAGAAAGGTTGAAATTACGGTTTTAACCTACAAATTGAGCAGGGTGTAAAGATTTAAAAATGCAATGTATACATGTAATCTCAGTAAACGGCAGGCCTAAATATTTATGTAAGAAAACAGATTTACAGATATTGTCAATAAGAAAATAGTACATATATTCTGATTTTAAGATAGGAAACTCGCTCCTAAAATAGCTTAGATACGTCAGCAGGTTGTAGGGGAAGGCTGAAGGTATCCTCGTGATTATAACGATGCATAAACATCATGCTTCGACAATATGAGCCCCATAATAACGGGATTAATAATCAGACATACGTTTAAATGCATATCAGTATATACAGAGAACACAAAATCAGATTGATACAGACAACTGATGTAAACTCTATAATGTTTAGACTGATTATCACAGCGGACATTATGTGCCTCAAGTATCTCTAACATGTGTAAAGTTCTAAAGTCGCAGATAAGATCTCCAAATTGCAGCAGACGTGACCTACTTGACAAAATTAATTTAGCAGCCTTTTACTTTTGTGCCTGGAATGATAATTATTGATAGTATACACAGGATTAATTTTTATCAGATGTGTAATTGAGATGACTCGTTTAATATTTATATTTTTGCAGAAATATTAATGCTGTGCATGTAATTGTCTCTGTTGATGGAACGGAATTTTTCGGAGTGGATCCAGAATTTTGCTAATTTGGGGCACATTTAGTATTTTTGGAGTGGAGTGGGGTGTTGAAATAGCCCATTTCCTTCTAAAACAAAACCGTGGTATTCGTATACATTTCCGAACAAAGACCAAATATGTTGCTTTGTAGTTTAATATACCCGTAATGAAATATTTCATCTCGCAGCAATCTTAGTTAGATTCCAGCGAAAAGTAAACAAAATAAATAAAAATGATACATTTAAAAATGAATTATGCCACGCAATAAGGTTTAATTTATAAACAAACGAAATTTTTTTAATATGTAAATACACTGTTATGTCATATAGTGTATCTAAATACAAATACCTAAGTGTATCATTTCTCATGCTCTGATCTATTGCTCGAAGTATATTAACTTTATCAAAAAAAAAAATTAATTAATTAATTTTAAAAAGGGAAGAAAAAATTCATACATGTAGTTATAATAAATTTAGACATCAAAACCACTGCTCACTTTTTTGATCATTCAATTAACCCTATTTTAATTATTGTATGCATTTGAAATTTGGGTTTATCTTAATACATTTACTAAAAAAAAATAGCATCCCTGGCGGTACAATAAACAGGAAGTTATCCAAATCATTCTGTGCTAAACTGAAATTTTGCAAATTAATACTTGGTGTACATAAATATGCAACTAGTTTTGCTGTACTATCTGAATTTAGTAGATTTCCCCTACACTTCGACATTGTAAGATCAAATTAAGATAAGCTATTGGTATAGACTTGAAAATCTGGTAAGTCTTTTCCACCCTTACAAGAGTGAAGATGTATATTGTGAGTCCAAGTCACTATGAAAAAGGTGAAGATAACAGACAGTGATTGATCTTAAAAAATCTATAAAACAATACAAATCTGGAAAGAGGGCATAAATTTGAGAAGAATCTCTATTTCTGGTATACATGTTGCTCCATTAATTTTCTCATCACCAATATAGATGGTATTTGTCGTAATTTAACTTTGGTCAGAGCACTGTACATCACATGGTTAAATGTTGTACACCTTATGCATGACTTAATGACAATGTGACCGTTGCCAATGAATATTCATTATTTTTTGTGATATTTTTCAAAAAAAAAAAAAAAAAAAAAAAAAAAAAAATCAATCTTTTTATAATGAAACATAAGTACTTATCTCATCGTATAACAATAATGAACTTCAATATTTTCTCAGATAAAAAAAAAAAATAACAAAAAACCTGCATTTTCTCCACTGGGAGTGTTGTTCATTTTTTCTGAATTCTGTCTAAAACGGGATTTTCATTAAAAAAAAAACAACACCTGATTACATGTATCTTAGAAACTGAAATTGCAAGTTTGACAACTTCACGCAAGATGAGGATGAAATCGGAAAACGACAAATATTGATAAATTTGCTTGATAAAGACCTTGTAAGCTCTTTCATCACATTTTTTCTACATGAATATCATTATAATTTTGTAAACGAAAGATTGCATTCCGATACAGGACACAATAAAAGATAGAATCAAGTGAGGAAGAAATTAATCCAAATTGATATTTTTTAATCTATGCTTTTTTTTCTTTTATAATGCACTGAACAAAAATGGCGCCTATGCAAACTAGCAAAACGTACACCATTTCTCTATATGTATATTCAAACGTACACTTAAAAATCATTTATTCAAAGATTATAGGAGCGGAATCAACAACTTGAATCACATTCTGACGAAAAAAGTCGCTCTGGCACTTTTAAACAAATTTTTTGGTACGGAAAATACCTTAAATTACTGAAAAATTTTGAGCACTGAAGAAGTCTTAAACATTTTTGCATATCATTCAAAAGTTATGGTCAAATCAAAACAAGCCTTACTTATTTGACTTCATAGATTTTTGACATCTTTTTTAGTCTTTTGATACTCGCATACCAAATTAAGAAGCAATAATGTTACACATTATTTGAAAAGTTGTAAACAAGGTTAAAAACATAAAATTATATTTGAAATCGTCCTTAAAATCGACTACCATCAGTACCTTCAGTACTTTGATTTTTTAACACATACACTAAAAAAAAAAAAAAAACCCTGGCTGGACAATAGACAAGGTGTAATCCAAATTATTCTGTGATAAACTGAAATTTTGCAAATTAATACTTGGTGTACATAAATATGCAACAAATTTTGCTGTACTATCTGAGTTTGGTAGATTTCCCTACACTTCGACATTATATATAAGATCATAATCTATTTTATTTTGTTGTAGACTTGAAAATCTGTAAGTCTTTTTCACTTTTACTAGATGTATATTGTGAATCCAAATCACTATGAAAAAGTTGAAGATAACAAACAGTGATTGATCTTTTAAAAAAAATCTATAAAAGCGATACAAATCTGTAAAGATGGCATAAATTTGAGAAGAATTGTTATTCCTAGTAATCACGTTGCTCCGTTAATTTTTTCATCACCAATATAGATTGCATTTGTGGTGATTTAACTTTGGTCAGGGTACATTACTTGTTTAAATGTTGTACACCTTTTTCATGAATTATTGACAACTTGACCGTTGTTAATGAATATTCATTATTTTTTTTATATTTAAAAAAAAATTGATCTTTTTATGTGAAACATTAATAATTATTTGATCATATTCCTCATTATATATGACAATAATGAAGTTCAAAATCTCCTCGGGCAATAAACAACTGATCTACCCTTCTAGGAGTGTTGTTTTTGTGCTATTTTTCGGAAAAAAATTAATTATCAATCTTTTTAATATATGAAACATGACAATGTCCCTCATCATATGACAATAATGAAGTTCAATATCTCCTCAGGTAAAAAAAAAACAAAACAAACAAACAAACAAAACCTGCATTTCCCCACTGAGAATGTTGTTCAGTTTTTCTGAATTCTGTCTTAAAGGTGATTTTCAGCTTAATAATTTTCAAGTCTAAAAAAACCTTATTTGACGTATCTTAGAAACTAAAAGTGCAAGTTCCACAATTTCACGCAAGATGAGGACGTGATTAGAAGATGGCAATTATTTTTGTTTGTTTGTTTGTTTTGTTTTTTTTTTAATATAAATTTACTTGATCAAGACCTTGTAAGCTCTTTCACCACATTTTTCCTACATGAATATCATTGTAATGAAGGTTCGCTTTAGATTTTTAAACTCGAAAGGAACTACCAACTTTTCGTCATTGTATAAACGAAAGGTTGCATTCTGATCCAGGACACAATAAAAGACAGAACCAAATAAGGAAGAAATTATTCCGAATTGATAATATTTTTTAATCTGTTTGTTCCTTATATAATGCACTGAACAAAAATCAGCCATTTTGAAACTATGTGGCGGCTATGTAAATTAGCAAAATGTGCACCATTTCTATATATGTAAACTCAAACGTACACGTAAAAATTATTCAAAGATTTTATATATAGGCGTGGAATTCACAACTTGTATCACATTCTGACGAAAAGCTAAGTTGCTATAGCACTTTCAAACAAACTTTTGGTCAGGAAAATACCTTAAACTACTGACAAATTTTGAGCAGTGAAGAAATCTTACACGTTTTCGTATATCATTCAAAAGTTATGGTCAAATCAAAACAAGCCTTAGTACCTCTTTGACTTTCATTTTCTTGGTCATTTGATTCTCGTATACCAAATTTCGAGCATTAATGTTGTGCATAATTTGAAAAGTTATAAACAAGGTTACAAACATAAAATTTGATTGAAATCGTCATTGAAATCAACTCCCATCAGTACTTTCAGTACTTTGATTCAATTTCCTCATTCCCTGAGCCAAAAATACTTAGACGAAAACGAGGCCAAAGAGCTCAGAACTGTAAAATTCTGAAAGACAACTTTGTATCGGAATGGCTTATGACCAAGACGCTTCTTATAAATATTTTCTTAGGCTATATAGCAAGGTCTTATGACTTTAAAGTTCAAATTTAGCCATAACATTTAAAGCTAAAATTGTGCAAGGTTATACGTTTTAGAAATATTTCTCCTGTCCAGAGAAGTTTTAGACTTTTAATGAATAACATTTCAACATGATTAGGACCACAGAAATTTGAAGTATAATTTTTTTTAAAGATTGCGAAATTTGTTTTTGTTTGTTTGTTTGTTTGTTTGTTTTTTTTGGCTTGTTTTTTTTTATGTACGGATCCTAATTTTTGTTTTGATTAGAAGGTTAAGCATAAGTCTAATTTGGGAATCTCTACTTGCAACTCAGGTAAACGATGAAGTTCATGTGCATTCTGCCTAGGAATGATTTTTGATCCTAAATCTGCAAGGTTTAAAAAAAAATACATTTAGCTACAATCATGTCAGGAGATTGGAAGCAGCCTGGGGCATTTTAAGTACGAATTCATTTTAGTAGGAACATTTGTTTTTCAACGAAGAAAGAAAGAAAATGTTATTTTCAATAATTCTTATTCAGAATATTTAAATGTGAAATAGGGGTTGTTTTCCAGAATTTGAATTTTTGCACGTGGATGTAAATTATGTTTCTTTTATAAACTCTGCATTATAACTACGCTATGGTTACCTTAGAAACACAATCTTTAAATTACTATGAAGATTTATAATTGTCATTAGGAGGATGTTAGGAGAGTGACGCAGTTTCACTTTACCACGTGGCCTGACAACTCCATCCCCGAGGATCTGACGTCAGTCATCTGCTTCCGTAACCTGATCAGGAATGGTCTGACCTCAACAGACGGACCAATAGTCGTCCACTGCAGGTAAATACATATAAATCTTTTATTTGATTTTCAGTAGTTTAGTACTAAATCATTATCATGATTGTAGTAAAACGACAACTATTAATACAAGAAGACTTGTTAATTAGAGCACGTGACGAAAATCCCGTCTGAAGAAAAATGAAATGTACGACACTCTAGCTGTTATCAATAACCGAACGACACTTCTATCGTCATCTGTTTTTCAAGTTCTCAAAATCGGAATGGATCATTAAATTTTTTGATCATTATATCAATCAATAAGACAGTAGAAGATAGCTCATAATTTGACAGATATAAACTTTTCTGAAAAAAAAAAAACCAACTTACATGTAACGGGCCAACCACAGGATGAAAACTATGTCATTCAGCTAACTGAAAGGCAAATGGATCGCAGATCTCTGAAATTCAGTGACATTTCCAGACCTTTCAATGATCATTCAGTAGACAACATAGTTCGATTTCGTTCTCTGAACAAAGTTTTAATAGCATACAAACATGTATATACAGGCCCTTATTTGACCTCTAAAATTTAGGCACCAGCCGGCGCCTTATCAATAAAATTAAGTCTCCAATGCAAATTTTTAGTCGCCAGGTAATATTTCTTAGGTTCCAACTTTAAAAGTTAATAGTCTTCAATTTGGGGACTCGTGACGCGACGTGAAATTTTGTTCACACGTGTGCTTACTAAAAAAACTAAAAAGAAAACACGATATGTCCATAGCTAAAAATATTTTCCTCTTCTTTTAAATTTCTTTTCGCTTCTTCAGAAAAACAAAAAATTTTAAAAATGTTAAAAGTTCGGAATTCGACGATCGCCAAGTCAATTTAAAAATGTCTCAAATTTGGTGACTTATGGAAAAATTTTAGGCGCCAATCAAAACTTTTAGGTGCCATGGCGAATGAATTAGTCGCCAATTAGAGCCCTGTGTATTTAATAAAACAATGGAATTCCTATCAGCACACCCAGTAACAAAACCCTTCAGAAGGGAAAAGAATGAAAAATATTTGATCGTTTCTTTTTTATTTTGCATATACTATCACCTACGTTCAAAATTAAAGCCTTACAATGTATGTACTAAACATTGCATCAGGTCTCATAGCATGGTTCTGCAATGTGGAAATAGAAGGATGCATGTGCCATTTGAATAAAAGCATATAAACTGCTGGAACAGTTGCTAAAATTTCTACAAATATATTTCAAGGATCTGGTACAACAAGAGAGTAATGGTATTCTGTAACATACAGAAAAGTCTCTACAGTTAAGAAGAAATAAGAAAGTGGTGTTTAATTGTCAAGATTCAAAATTAAAAGACTAATACAATTATAGAAAAAAAAATGACCAAGTATATCAGCATATAACATGTGAAGGAATTCTCCTTTGCATGGATGATTTTTCTGTGAATGGTTTGGAGTAGGTCAGGGACGTTCGTTGCTCTCGATTATCTCTTGGACGCAGCAGAACAGACGATTGACGTCAAATGATGCGTAGCACTTCTCTCCACCATCAGCGTGGGAAATCTGTACAGACTTGTGAAAGCGTAATCAGGATTTTAAAAATCACATTCTCCATGATCGTTGCATTGACATAAAACAAAACGAAGCAATAATTTACATTTCTCTCTCTCATTTTACATTACACTTGAATCCACACTTTGTCCTAGCTGAGTGTCACAGATGGTCAGACGGTCCTTGTTAGGAATAAATAAGAGAAGTAACGATGGAAATACAGAGTAGCAGATCACGAGTTGAACCCTAATCAGAAACTGATACCATGATGAGATTTTAAACTTTATATTGAGACCATTTGCAAATACTATATTAATGAGCGAGAAGATATTGCTTCAGATGTACAAACTCTAACGATGACTATTTTTAAAAACATAAGTACCATCTGCATAGAATATTACATATAGCCCGAACATCAAACCGAACCTAAGTGAGCACATGTGTATAAGTCTTCAGAAAAGATTTTCCAGAATCATTCGAAGATCTAATCATTAACACAATCGAGAATTTGTCCTGGATTCATCTAGCCGATATTAGAAAGCTTATTTAGAACAATGTAGTGAGGCTATTTGCTTGTTGGATAAATTACAATCCACTCTGTTGAGCACCTTTTCATGTTACAGGTTCAAAAAGAAATATTCTAAAAAAATGCTTATGGATCTTGTGGAAGTCCTTTTTAATGATTGATTGATTGTATGTTGTTTTACGTCCCATTCGAGAATTTTTCACTCATATAGAGACGTCACCATATACCGGTGAAGGGTTCAAATTTTGACCTTTAATCTGCACTCAGGGCCATTGAGCAGTGAGGGATCTTTATCGTGCCAACGCCTGCCGTGACACGGGGCCTCGGATTTTAAGGTCTCATCCGAAGGACCCGCAACTTTCACTTCAAAGTACCGAGCGCATGGCGAAGGAAAAGTTGCTACCCATTTTTTATCGACTTAGGTCAGTTGCGGCCGAGATTCGAACTCACGACCTTCCGATCACGGAGCGACCGCTCTACCGACTGAGCTACCGTAAACAGTCCTTTTTAATGAAAAAGGTTGTGAAAATAACGAACAGTGATGAATCTCAAAAGTCTTTTAAACAGTAAAAAATTAATGATCAGGGCATAAACATTCCTAAAAAAGAGGTGGGATCAGGTGCCAAGGAGGAGCAAGCATCCTCTGTCAACCGGTCACGCCCGCCGTGACCCCTATGTATTGATTAGGTAGACGGTGTTATCCTTCGTGAAAGGACAAGATAGGCTAAGACCCCTTTTTGGCCCCTGGTTTGGGGTGTCTTTTAGAATGATGCAACAGTTTATCAATAAAAACTGTTGTTACCCCTGCCACAAAATGAGTATTGGTTCTAAGTTAGTGGATACACAGGGGTCACAGGAAGGTCAGAAAGTATGTTAATTTCCGAATTTTCTGATTTTAATGCAAATTTTCATTGATTTTACAGCACATTTTGTTTCAGAAAATATAGAGCACATGCTTGCCTATCTACCAAATTTATACATTTCATACAGTAGTATCAGATGTATCTTAAGTATAAATATCTCAGATAGGCAAGCTTCTGTTCTATGTTTCCCGAGGTGAAAAGTATCTCAAATTTCACGAAATTCCGCCAGAATTGAGGAAATTCGGGAAATGTCCTACTTCTGCACGCTTTTGTGGCCTCCGTGTAAGCTTTGAATCAAAATTAATGCTGGTTTTAAAACAAGCATTATTTTAAGTTCCGAACTACAAACTATCACAATTTTACCTGTGTTCTGATTTTTAGATCAAATAAGGGGCCAGATTTGGCCGTTACCATACCTTGTCCTTTAGCATAAAACATTGATCTAACAATAGCTTGAAAAAAAAAAAAAAACAAGTCAGTCAAAATACAACCCAGTAATAGGTTGTATTTGCAAACAAGGTCATCATAACGACCGTAGATTTTTTTAAATGCTGACTATAAACGAGATTGTTGAAATCCCTGAATATCAACATATTTGTCAGTAGCCTATCTCAGTATAAATATTGATCGTGCTCACACGCTTTTGCATATAGAATAAGTTCGGAGACATATGCAGGTGAAATTGGAATATTTCTACATAAATAAGGAAAGTTGAGGATGGAAAAGTTGAAATCATCTCGTCATCACTTTAGTTGTTTGTTAACCATTTTTGTCTACGGGTGAAACACAATATAGGGCGCATTGGAAATACCACATTGCTATACATGATTTTTAAAAACATGATTTTCTTTTCATGCAATTTATCACGATTTATTCATAGGAATACTTATGAAGGACTTGTGTGCAAAATTTTGTTGATCTAGGTTTAACAGATTTTAAGTAAATGCAAAAAATGTACCCCATTTTTTGAGCGTTATGCTGTTGCACTTAGAAATTACAGCATTTTTCAATTGAAATAATTGTTAAATATCATATATTATCATGCAATTGATTTTTTTTTTTTACAAATTATTTTGTTGCTTGAATGTTCAGGATCGAATCATAACTTTTGAAGATATGAAAGAAAATGTAATAGGGGTGCAATGTTATACATTTTTTCACTTAGTTTTACCCCTCTCGTTATGCCAAATAAAAATAATGTCCATATCATTTGTTTTTTCATATTTCTGTCTAAAATCATAGTATTAATGTTCTGTTACTTACAGAAAAAAATTGGGTCGTGTAACTCTTGTAATTTAATTTCATCAATGTTTTAATGTGAAAAATTAAGATTTTACAAAAAACCTGTAGTGTCCGCAACCACTAAAATTCTGTGAAATTGGAAGGCTCTATAAATATCTTAATTAATTTTCTAGATAGGCATTTCATATAGATGCTGAGATGTGCTGTAATTTTCCTGATCATCACCACTGTTTCTGTAGTATCATCTCAAATGTGGTTACGGACACTACAAAATCATGTAGTGTCCGTAACTTGTATTTGAGTCAGTTTGAAACAGCCTATGTTAAAACATTAATGCTAGTATATTCACAAAGGTCAGAGGTTTGTTTTACAAGTTAATCAATGTACTTTATTTTTCTCCCTCATTTTGATAATGCAACGGATTTGGGAAACCCAGATTGCATCATTTCCATATGCAGCATCAATGGTGTTACACCATGATATTGGCAGATGCTATTGACATCCTAGGAATTAAGACAGATAGCATGCCATTATTTTTTTTCAATGTTGGAAGTCAACTGGTATTACATTTAACAAAATCTTGTTGGAATTCCTCTATTTAAGATAAGTTTCATCCTAATTTAAATAACTTGTGGAGTGTGTAGTGTCCGTAACCAAAAGTTGAAAAATTAAATCTTTATATTTTTTCCCAAAAAAATTACAGATAATTTTTTGAAGCAGTGTATTATTAAATTTAGAGATAAAAAGGCGTTTATCAGCAGGAATTCTTTTAGATCATGTGGTTTTTTTCTTTACTGCAAGTACTAAAATAAAATATGACTGGACACCCACAATGACATGGAAAAATTATTATAATGAGTCACATAACCCGTACTTCTTGTGATATATTGCTTCAATTGTCTAATTGCTTATTAGAAAATATCTTACAATGTGTTTAATGCAAGTAAATTTGCATTCAAAATGTTTAACATTGGGGAGGTAATTTGGTTACGGACACTACAAAATATTGTAAAAAAAGAAAACAACTAAAATTACACCAAGTTCAGATTAAGTATTGTACATTTAACTGTTTGAAGAAAAACAGAATGCTTCACAGAATAAAATAAAAATACATTAAAGAAATAAGTGAGCTATATTCTTTAAGATTTGACTTTTCTACTTGCACATGATACCTGTATAAAGTTACAAGTGTATAAATTAAAATAGACAAAGTATATTGGTTATGGTATGCTTTTATCAGATGGCGTTGAGATCTGAAGAATCAAAAAATCAGGAGAAACTGAAACGAAAAAAAAAAAATGAAAAAGAAGATGGCAAAAGACTATGAAAAAGTTCATGTTTGCCAGACAGTCTCGTGTAGTGTCCGTAACCCTTAAATCTGGTTGATTGACTTCGTCGACCAGTGTATCTGCATTATAAATAGTTTTCATAAAACGTTAGTGAGTTAGAGATTTTTTGTTCTGCACTTTAGTTATACAGTTATGTGAAAACAGGAAGCTTCAGAATTTTCTAAATTGAATATATCTTTCCTATTAGCATTAGTTCTGCAAGTAAATTGTTTTTACTTGAAATAATATCTAATTTTCATGTACTTTGTATTTAATAAATCATTTAAATCTGATTTCTAATAGTTCAGAAGTTCATTAAAAAAAATTTTCCACAGCCCAAAGCCAATCTTAAATATTTGGATTTTGTGGTGTCTGTAACTAAATAAAGCAATCAAATTATTTTACAAAAATTTATGAAAATGAAATTTCCTATTTTAATGGAAGTGTTTTTGTTTCAACAAAGACATCAAAAATGTTATTTATCAATAATTTTTTCTTTATTTGAATTGGAAGTAAAGAGTTCAGATGAATTGAAATACTACCATTTTTAAACAAAAATGTACGAAGTAAGAAATGTGTTCATTTTAAAGTATTAACACCTTTTCTAGTCCAACTTTTGTCCATATTATGTATTTTTATATGTTGTTTGTTTGTGAGCAGTTGGAAAAATGAAGTTTATAAACAGTTTTCAATATTTATTTCAAAGAAAACAACACTTGTAGTGTCCGTAACCTGTGAAAATGAGGTTATTATCAGCTTGTGAAAAATAAAGTTCTAATATGAATTTCGCAAAACCGTTTAAGTTTTAGATCCTTTAGAGACTCTACTCTTTAAAAAAAATATTTTTGGGGCAAAATAAAGACGTTAATTTTTTACCCCCAAGTACAACATTACTGTTCCCTTTGTTGTGTTTCACCCGCTATAGACAGTAAAATACCTAAATATTAATATGATGTGGCTGACTCTGTTGAACTCGAAATAAAAGACATCACAGGGGTGTCTTTTATTTCATGTTCACTTGGATATATTTAGTCGACATATGCTATGAATGGAAGTAGCTATTGCAAATTAATTAAAAAAAAAAAAAAAAAAAAAAAAAAAAAAAAAAAAGTCGTCGAAATATCTACATGTCTAATTGAAGGTCAAACTCACAAATGTTTACTTAAAGTTTCTTTATTTCATTAAATTTTGTTGATAGTTTTCTTTTATAAACTAAGAAACCCATATATTTTTAAGTGCAGGGATTGGTAGGACGGGGACATTTATCTCCCTTGATTATCTCCTGGAAGAGGGCGCTGCTGAACAGACGATTGACGTCAAAGGATACGTTGCTTCTCTCCGACATCAGCGCGGGAACTCTGTGCAGACTTGTGTAAGGCTTGTCGAGATAAAAAAAAAAAAGATAATTAACTCCATTGCACTAACATAAAACAAAATCAGATGTTCAAAACGTCAAGCATTCATTCAGATTCTCTCTCTCTCTCTCTCTCAAATTTAAAATAACTTAACCAAAAGAATTTAATCAATTTGTGACTTCTTTTGCTGCAGACAATTTAATCCTACAATTTTTTTTTTTAATTTTAGGAGCAGTACCTTTTTCTTCATGATGCGTTGAAAGAAGGATTAACAAATAATGCTGTTCGCCAGAGCTGTTTGTCCGTACTATGACCTCCTCTTTCTAACAACATGTGATTGATCAGATTAAATCAAACGAATCTTAAATGGTTCCAAGAATTGTCAGATGAAAATGCACTTTACCTCTTACTTTTTAATCAGTAGATTATATTCAGGTTCAAAGGCAGGGACGGTCATTTTATGAATGGAAAAGGCAGTGATGTCTTATCACAGGAGAAATGAATTTACTATCGGAAAAGTTTCTTTTTACTTCTAAATACTAGTTGCTAAGATTTAAGAAAATTTAAAAGCAGGTTTTAATGTGTATAAAAGCATGGTAATTTCTCGATTTGTTGGATTTTTTTTTTTTTTTTTTTTTTTTTTTTTTTGAAAAAGTTAATTTTTTATCGTTTCTTGGTCTTCTCTCCATTTTTTACAAATGTTTGTTAGTTTTTGAAAATTAAAATGCACACAAATAACGTTTCAAAATCATGGATAGATCTAGATGACCCAGAGGTAGCAAATATTTAGAAAAACGCGTTTAAAAATGTATCATTTTGTACCAAATGACTCATCTAGTCAATTTTCAAGTTCTTTTTTTTTTTTTAGCAAATCAGAATACAATATCGGGAAAATATTTCCCTTTCCTATTTCACAGGAACCCGATACATCAAAAGGATGCTAAAGTTTCATGTGACAGATCAATGAAATTTTCACTTTTCAAGTGCGCCCAGATTTCTGCCTAACGCCAATCAAAAGTGCCCTCCTTCTTTTTGTAGTTTGAGGAAATATTATTGGTTCGTGGGGATTTGATTTCGTGGTAGAAGACGTGTTGAGATGTCAAATATTGGAAATTTGGCATATGTTCGTGGGTCTCTTCGTACCAGAAAACCACGAAAATTAACCCCCCCCCCATGAAAAATAGTGATTTCTTAGTACTTATTTCGATATAGGAGCTCGATATCCTAGTGTTCGAGGTTCTCTGCATTTAATGACTATAATTTAACTTAATTTTTTTTCTAATGACAAATAAGCATGGTTATTCAGCCCCATTTCCCAATTCAACGAGTGTATAATGTATAGAAAAATCTTTTGTTATTTAAAAAAAAAATACGCTTCAAAATGCTTGCACAATGCGCACTGTCGTGATGTGCAAAACAAAGAAGATATAGAACCATAAAATATGATATTAAATTCGAATTAAGGAAGTTCTTATTCATGTTATCTAGATATTTTCCTGATGAATAACAAACCATATTCACCACCAAAAGAGTCCATAATTGTGTAATATTCTGTTTCATACACTTTTTACTCATAAAAAATGTAAAGTTAAATCGATTAGCAACGTATCTTGCCATAATAACCTCTCCCAATGTAGAATGAAAGCTAGCTTGATCTCGCTGCACTGAGTGAAATGACGCAACTGAACAGTTTAACACGCAGTTTCTCTGTTCTTGAGACGTGGATCAAGCTATTATTGTAGCTTGTGAATATGAAAATTACAATGAAACAAGCGTGATCTAACCAAAATAAAGACAAATTTTTGAAAGTATTAATAAATATTTTATAGTCCAGTTATGTATAGACCTCATTTAAAGCCGTTACGGCAGTAAGGCACTTTTGTAAAATAACGTTTTAAAATGACAGATTTAGTCCCTCGAAAATCTCAAGCGTTCCACAATTTCCATTTCGCCATAAAGTGTACTCATCTTACACACGATTTTTAGCCTTAGGTACTGGCCTCAAGTTTGAAACATTCACATTCCTGAGGGTGTTTGACCTTGAAACCAGTGGTCGTTTTCTAATACAGGTTGATATATGACTTGGGTAATTTAAATCAGATTTATGGCTAAAAATGATTAAGTTATGAAAGTTTATTTGTCTAGTAAAGGGTGTTAAGAAAGTTCATTCCACATTTTTTTTATTCTCACGAAGAAAAACAATGAGAAGATATTTAAAATTTGTGATATTTCATGTTCACAGAGTCCGTTCTTGCTACTGATAAGGTTTTAAGTGTGTTTTGTTGAAACGAAAAGGGGAAGGTAGGAATTGAAACAGATGATGTCTGTGCAGAAAAATCATGGATGCAGCATATTTGTGAAATATCATGAGCACACAGGTCAATATATCCTTTCAAATAACTATACAAAATTTATCAAGTCAGTATAAAATTCCAATATGACAAACCTATTGTTTTGAAAGATCTTTTACCTTAGCTTCTCAGTTTTTGTATTATGCAAGATAGGCTGTGAAGAAACAAAAGTGAATAATCTTGCATTTTCACACAAAAATGACCAGCAGCTCTGTAATTTGGATGTTTCAAAGATATCTGTATGTAAATAATATACAGTACCACTTTTGATGCACCACATGCGCATTTCGACAAATTTTGTCTCTTCAGTGATGTTTATGCCGAAACGTTGAAAATCCGAAATATTTAGAAAAAACAATTGAAGTGCAAAGACTGGAGCCAAATACATCGAAAGATGAGGGAGATAATCCTTAATTTTGAAATAAATGTCTAAATTTTACCACAGCAATTAAATATATATCCGTATTTTCAAGATAGTATCGAAGTACTTAGGTACTGGGCTGTAGAGACCCTCGGGGACTAACAATCTACCAGCGGAGGCCTCGACCCAGGTATCTTAATGCATCTGGAGCATCAAAATTAGTACCGTATATTATTTACATTATGATCCCTAGGTCGAGGCCTCAGTTGGTGGACTGTTTGTCCCCTAGGGTCTATATATATATATATATATATATATATATATATATATATATATATATATATATATATATATATATATATATATATATATATATATTAATTGCTATTAATCGAAAGCAAATCTTGTGATTTTGTCAGACTGGAAAATTAATCTCTTCAGTTAAACACTACTTTGAAATTTTCAAAAATGTTTCATTATGGAACGAACTGTCTTAACACCTCTTAGATTACTTAAGATGATTGACGCTGTCTATTGATTTTCACTGAAATCTTGCGCTGTTACACTGTACCTTGATCCACCACTTTTACCACTGTACGGGTAATTCTGCCTGTGTGTCTGCATTTCTTGATAATCTATTAGACCCATAACAAAAAATAAACAATTAATAACTTTATTAAATAAATGATTACTCTTCTACTTTGATAATTATTTTGATACTTTCCTGTCGTACTTTGAAACGTCACACTTCACTTATTTACTACGAAACTTTATCTTTGACCTTATTAATATTTCAAATTCCATTTCTTATAATTGTGGTTATTTTGGGAAAAAATATTTGAATTTAAGAAGGATCTATACATAATATATAAATACACGCATCTCTTATGTACCAATTTGAATTTTTAAAGTAAAAACTAGTTTAACAACACTCAAAAGGTTGATTTACTATAAATGCACTAGCAAATACTCTAATATTTAGATTATTAGTCCCCTTCCGGTAAAACCGGAGGAGACTATAGGTTTTTATTAATAGTAAACTCCATTTTATTAGAGTGAGTTATAGTTCACAATACTGAGCACAGGGCTATTTTTTGTCTCGTATTTTTATCCCCCTAGTTTGCTCCCTTTTTCCCCTTTAATTACGGAATGATCATGACCCTGTACTTAAAAATCTCTATATGTTTATTTCTTGGATGTCATCCTGTTCTTTTCCTTTTGATACCTAATTTGCTTCCTGTTCCTTTTTATTTCTGGACTATACTTAAAGTAATGAGGAACCGAGCGTTTAAAAAGTTTATAATGACAAGGAAAATGTCAGGAGATTATGTATTGACCATAAATGGGTCTTTTAGAGTACGTAAAAATATACAAAATGTAACATTTTGTATCCCCCAAGTCCTGGTAATCTAGACAAAGGAATTAGAAATTTTTGGACGTGACAGGTGTCCTTGATTAAGTTGAAGGCGATTTTGACTAGTCAAAGGCACTTCATAGAGTGAAAATACTCGATCCACCTTTTGAAATATGTCCAGGAACTTGATCATGTATAAAATCCTTGAAAAGAAAGCTACTAATTAAAATAGATATTATTTTATTTTATTTGATATTTTTTAGAATAAAAGCTGTAGCAAAAAGTTTTACCTTTAACTTTACCTTTAAGAAAAAGTAAAATGAAAAAAGTTTAAAAGTAAAATATTATTACATCTTACTTTTCATATGGAAAGAACCACGGTTTTTGATGACTCATTCCTCAATAATAACAAGGTTTACATTGCATAAACTCTGCAGAGGAAGTTGGAAGAAAATAATGTTTTTTCCGTTTGTTCCTCGTGTTATCAGTCGTTCAAGAACATCTGAAAAGAAATTTGATCCTATACCGTAGACAATTCAATATGAAATGACATGCTTAACAATTTGTATGTTTAATTGATTGTACGTTGTTTTACGTCCGTTCCATATACCGGTGAAGGGCTTCAAATGTAGATCTTTACTTGGAACTCAGGGCCATTGAGCAGAGGGAGATCTTTATCGTGCCAACGCCTGTCGTAACACGGGATCTTAGTTTTTAAGGTCACATCCGAAAGACCTGCAACTTTCACTTCAATGTGCCCTGCACTTAGCGAAGGAAGGGTTGCTACCTATTTTGTATCGACTTAGATCAGTCGCGGCCTAGAGTTTGAACCCAAGACCTAGTAGCAGCAACAGAATAGTTTACACATTAATGAAACTGACAGCATAGCATAAGTGCAACTTCTCTGCAACATTTCCAAAATATAATAGGCTATTCTAATCCATGTATTCATTTTTCAATTTCTTTGCACAAAGTGTAAAATTGTTGGAAAATGTGTCAGAGGTACTTGTGCACAGTGAGCTACGCGTACCGTTCCAAATGTATATCAATCATACATAAATCTTGCCTATTGAAGAACCTAAGATTAATAGATAAATCCAAATTTTCTACTACATGTACAAATATGATATGATTTTGAGTATTAATTTGATATAAAATATAATGTCTTTATAAAAGAAAAAGACACAGCTTTCTTTAAAAGATGTGGCATAATTGTTCATGAGAAACTTTAGACTGTTACGAACTAGAACACTTTCCACCAGAGCAAATTTTTACTTTCTGAAATTTATGATATATTTATGTAGTTTACATCTGTACGCATAGCTAGCTACCTGTTTTCTCGCTTCCTCGAACAACCCTGCGCAAAACTGTACACTTCTTTTCCTACATCTTGACATAGTGTCATGAAATACTGGGAAATTTCTAAGTTTAAAAAACGTCTTAAAACTTTCTGTTTTTCAAAATAGCCTTTAAAAATAATCACTGAAATCTTTATTTAATGATTTTTAAAATTATTATATTATTATTATTATT